AAAAATGTTAAAATTAAACCTAAAATTAACCTAATTATTTACATGGCAATTTATTTACAAAAAAAAATAATAATTAATAATTAATATGGTGAAAAAGAAAAAAAGATAAAAGTATAAAACCCTAATTCTACATTTTTTTTTATTTATTAAGAAAAACATTTAAAATTAAACCTAGAATTAAAAACTAAATTAATTATTAAATTTATTTACAAAATAACATGAAATAAAATACATTTTTATTTTTTGTCTTTTCTGATTTTTATTATTTTTTATATTAAATAAAACAAATTAATTTAAAGAATTGAATTAAAATTAAACAAAACAAATAAAATAGAAAAAAGATAAAAAGAATGAAAGAAAGCAAACCAATGGGGGTGCTGACCCCAATCTGGAGGTCATATGGTGAGTAATTAGGCCCAAGAAGCTTGGCCCTTTCTGACTTTTCAATAATCATGTGTGTATGCGTTGACTGAGACATTCCATAGACCTTGGATCTTGGCCACTGGATGGATGTTGTGGGACAAGTGGCGTGCTGGAGCGTGGAGTGCATGGTAGTCTTTTGGTGAGAAGCTGCATGGAATCAAGTTAAAAGAAAATATATTGAGAAAGTGAGGGGACCTGGGAATCGAACTCAGGTCCCAATACCTGCAAGCCAAACGCACTAGCCACTGAACCACTCAAGTCTCTTTGTTATTATAGTGGAGTATAATTAATATAATAGGAAATAAGCACTAGTGACGTTAGAACAAAAATTAGCGCGCGAATGTTCAAATTCTCCAGTTATGCATGGACACGTCTGTCTTCTTCTTCAATTGCCTGTAAAATAAAAAGAGATAGCGGGGGTTTTAATCCCCCACTAAATGATGAACATGAAAATAGCGATTAGAATTTGGCCAATGATAAATTGAGCGTGACTAGGGTATTGGATTCGTATGAAGCTTCTGGTTCGAATGGTATAAGTCTGGTTTCTTGATTTTGCCTCAAACGTAAAGCCCCAATTTTACAGTTTTGAAACCCTAATGAGCTCCAATGGTGGATTCGTGTATAGGGCACGAAAATTCAATTGGATGGTATGGTTAGCTTCAGAATGATAAGACTAGTACAAAACAAGCGTTAGAAATCAAAAATATGGCATGAATGATGAAACACGATTATGCAAAAAATATGAAACAGTTTGACTTCTATGTACCAATTCCTGAGGTTGGAAGCGTGGAAAAGGACTCAGTTAGGTTCCTTGATGCCTTGGCAAGCTAATGGTATGATTATTTCACTTTGAATTGCACTGAAACTGTGTTTTCAGTTTTTGAATTTTTTCACAAAAATTGCAAAGTGGTCCTTGATGTGAGGCGCAGCTTGGAGGTCTTTAGCATTAGGTTTAGCTTCTGACTTATATGAGGGATGAATTAGGGTTGAAATTTGAGTCAAGAGATCCTTGCATTGATGTATGAGATATTTGATTTTAATGGCATATTTCTTCAAATCTTTTCCATGTGTTTTGATGCCAATCATGACCAAATCCTTCCCTTTTTGGTGTGCACGAATCTTGAGTGAATCATGAGTGATTATACTGCATAAAAGATTCACACACATTTGTTTAGTATTTTTTTTCATATTTTAATTAATTAAATGAATTAATGTTGATAAAAATTCAAATAAATAATAAAAAATGATGAAATAAATCCCCTTTGGGCCAAATGGTCGTGCATAGTCTTTGGATGATGAATCTTGGGAGAAAATGTGGCCCATTAGCAATTTTGAGGCATTTGAAGCAAAGTTGACTTTTCAAAATTCCCAAAATATTCCCAACTTCCACAAGGCATATCTTGCTCAATTTTTAATCTTTGATCATGTTCTTGGACATTTTGGAAAGGTCTTGAAGTCCTATAACCAATGCCTTTGGTCCCATGTAATTTTGATTTACCAATCTCAAGTTATGGTCTTTGACTTAAAGTCCCTTTTTGTTGACTTTTGAAAATGACCTATAATGTTGAAATTGATAACTTTTTGTGAGAGCATTTATTGGACTTGAAGTGTGAAGAGGAGTTGTAGGAAATGTCTTTCTCTTCAAAATGAGCTTTGGATGGAATTTTTCTGATGAACCATGTGGAAGTTATGCCTTGGTCAAGTTACAGTTGACTTTTTCAACTGTCCAAATATGGAAACTTTTGCATCTTGAGACCTTTTGAGCCATGCCTTGAAAATCATGATCAAGAATTGATCAAATGATGTTTGTGGCTTCAAAATAAGATGTTGACCAAAAATTTGGACTTTTGACTGTTAAATGACCAATTTGCCCCTGTAGTTGACTGTTGAGCAATTAGGGTTTTTGACTGTGCAATTTTGTGCTGTAAGTCTTGAAACTTGGCATGAGGATGCTTGACCATGTTTATAGGCATGTGGGACTTGATTGGACCCTTGGAAACTTCAATTTCTTTGTCAGAACCAAAACCCTAGTTTTTTGACTGTTAGGAGGCCCTTGAATTGTGCAACTCTTGGGGAGATTTTGAAGCATGCTCTTTGCAAATCTTGAAGAATATGGGAGGGAAAATTTTGGGGTACAACAGGTGGCACCCCAAAACGTTATCCACGTGGCTTAACCATCAAACACGAAATCCTCTGAATTGGCGAGCAAGCACCCGACTCCTACGAGGACATTATGTAGGGGGTTGACACCTACGCGGGGAGGTGCTCGACACTGGAGTGCACAGAGGGGCACATTTCCTTGACTATCTCGAAGACAAGGAAATGCTCGACAAACTAACAGTTCCCATGAAGCGGATGAACCCTCTCGAGCACAATAACTAAGGAGGGGCTCCTCACCGCCAATATGTCCTCTCAAGTAGGTGGACGAACCTTCTGATCCTGATCCCCGTCTGTCCAGGGTATTCCCCGACATAGTTGTGTTTGCCCCTCGCGGGCAACGATCCGCTCCCTTCGGGGACTTCAACCCTTTATCCCGACCAAGCCTTCGATAACAAACTGCACTCAAGTCATCACCCTCTAACTCGAGGACAATAACTTGGGGGCTCCTGATCTGGACTAGGCATACGTTTGTCCTACGAAAAGAAGGCCCAAACGGCCCAAGTTAGATATTGTGGGGCACCTCACCATCTAACTGTTGGGGGACGTGGCCCACCACTTCTCAACGGACACGTCAAACTGCCCACTGGGAATTTTGGATCCAACCCTATTCTCGCGGAGCGGTTGACCAGGGGGGAGCCCACTTGCTGGACTCTATATTCACGTAAACCCTGACAGTTTCCGTTATTGGGCCTCTGCGTGGCCCAATGGTGGGGACCTTGGCCCAGCGCTGAGGGCTATAAATACCCTCTCTCATGAGAGGGTCAGGTATTCATTCATTCACACATATATACTCACTTGCTTGCTCATTCCGTCTCTCATTTTACCATCGGAGTGTCTTGCAAGTACTCCCCTATCTCCTTCAAATCCAACCCGAAGCCAGCTGTGACGGTCCAATTCTGACCAGGTATGATCACTTACATATCCAACTTTGTACAAATATATTTTTTTCAGACTTTTGACTCTCATACGAGTATTCTTAATAAGTGGAGTTCATACAACATTTGAATTGAAAAAAAATAGTCTATGGAGTATCTTCCAAATATGGCAATAGCGATCGTGAAAAGATAAAATTGTAAATAAAGCAAGAATATTACTAAACTTGAACAATCTTGTAGTGGTTAAAGGGCAGATAGAATATATAGGGTGTATTTATTTCATGGTTAAGAAAATGTATTTCTGAAAATATGATATAAAGACAATAATATCATATTTATTTTAAAAATTTTAAAATTATTTTTAAATACTTTTTATTTTCAGGAATTATTTTATACATGATTTTTGTCACATTTATTCTCATGTCTAAAGAGTGAAAATCCAACATTCTTATTAGAATTAAGTTAACCAACAATAATTTTCCACTAATATTTACATTAATATTTATTTATTTTATAATTTTAAAATCAAATAAAATGTGTAAATTTTTCTTGGAAAATGTTTAAATCTTATTATTAGAAATATAAATTCTGAGAATATATTTTTAAAGAATGAGGTTTTATAACTTAAAACAAACACATCTATAAAATTAAGAGAATATTTGTATCCTGCTATTAATGATAAACATGACATTAACAAAGAAGAAATTGGTTGATGACGTGAAGAATCAAAATTGCTCAAATGTCTGTCATATCATATTCCCTGTTATTTTTTATTACATAACTTATCCATGGACTTCCAGTTTTATTTGAAATAATGAAGCATTTCAGAAATCCATAAATTCAAACACCATGTAACATGCAATAATGCAGACGAGGTTGAAAGGTTTATAGGATATGATTTAAAGAGTATAGTTTCTTACTACAACTTCTAATGAGATTTTTCACTATTTAAGATATTGAGGATAGTAAAATGTTAATTGAATAATTAAAAATGTAATGATTTATGTGAAAAGAGTGAATATAAGAGTGTCTTTCCATCTTCTACTGTTTTAATTTAAGTGGAAAAAAATTTAAAATATTAAACAATTAACACATTAGACATTTAAATAAAAAAAAGTAAAAAAAAATTATTGGAATGACATATTTAACCTTGAAATCAAAAAAATTTATCCATAAAATCAGAAGTTTATACTTAATACTTTCAAATACTTTAACTTTTATATATTTATATATTTATTTATAATAGACATCATACTCAACACTTCCGTTACAATAGTACGGAAATTCCCGTTTATTTGCAATAACCAAACGAAACAAAACCGTAGCGTAACAACGTTGCTTTCTTGCTACTCGAAATAGCAGAGTAGAAGCAACCTTCTCAGAAACACATATAAATCACACTCACTACACTACTCTTTACTTTCCCCATTTTCCATTCTCTTTCTTTCTCTTCTTTTTCCCTCCATCACTTCCTCCCAAACCATTTCCCTTCCGGTCCATCTATCCCAAACCCGGTTCGGTTCGGTTCGGTTCAATTGTCTCATGGAGCAAACCACGTTTGAATCCATTCAATTCAACGAAGAAATTCAGGGGATCATGGCGCCGGCGTCGGAAACCGCAAGCTCCTTCACCGCACTTCTCGAGCTACCACCGACGCAGGCTGTCGAGCTTCTCCACTCACCGGAAATCACCGGAGACCCACCTCGCCATGTCATTAACCCGAAACCCTATCCCCTAACCTGTAACACAGACGATTTAATCTTCCCTTCCAACACCGCGTTGATCGAACGCGCCGCGAGATTCTCCGTTTTCGCCGGTGAGAACTTAGCAAACTCTCTGCCGGAGGTGAAAGATGAACTACCGGAAATTGAAGAAAATGGCTGTGTCTCTGATCGCACAGTCGAGAACATGAATTCCAAACACACGAAGAGGAAGGAGAGAGAGAAGAAGGTTCATCATAATCTTCATCTTTGAACTCAATTGCAAACGTTCTCCAGAATAATTAGGGTTTTATACTTTTCAGTAATTTGGGGGAATTCTCTTTTTCTGTGAAACGCAGGTTAAAGTATCTTCCAAGAAAAACAAAACCGTCGCCGCCGACGAGAATTCCGGCAACGGCGAGGAACTCCCGTATGTTCATGTACGAGTTCGTCGTGGTCAAGCCACTGATAGCCATAGTTTAGCAGAAAGGGTAAAGACTCTTAATCCTTTTAATTAACCACTAATTCACTTCTTTAATCACATTTACTCCCTCCTTTACGAATTATAAACAAAATTGAATTTTTTTAATACATAGACTAGATAAATTAATTATCAAATATACTAATAGTTACGGAGGGAGAGAATAGTACTAGTACTTTATTACTGTATTATCATAAAGTTTGTTAATTTTATTTTTTTAATTTTAATTTGATTGTGTTGTAGGCTAGGAGAGAGAAGATAAATGCTCGAATGAAACTATTGCAAGAGCTGGTCCCTGGTTGCAACAAGGTTGGTACCTTTCCTTCCTTTTAAGATGTTAATATACTCATTTACAATAACTAATCATTTGTACTTTGTTTAATCATCATGATTATGCCATAATTCTATCTAAATTGTCTCCCAAAAGTTCTTTTGTGTCTCTAGATTATGGATTTTTTAAAGGGATTATGCCATGTCATTATCACCTTTTCACCAAAATTGAAAGTGCATGTTTTTCCACCGAGAAAAGTGCTTCATAGCACATACAAGTGTCGACATGACATTTCTGTAGTTTTATCTCTCACATTATTACGTAGTACCTCTTTTGGAATTATCTTTACTAAAATATTACCCTACTTTAGGAAAATATTACCCAACATGTGTCCTCAAACCTTTCTTAAGGAATTTAAAAAATAGAAATTGTGTTAAAATAATAGCTTTCAAACCTTTAAAGAATTGAATATAGAACTTCTAATACAATATTTGGTTCTCTATCTAAGTATAGAGTCCCAGTCGTCGTAAGTTTTTAGAGGCTCTGTGTAGATTATTTGATTATTTGCGGCTTAACCATGATGAAAGAAATATAAGTTCTATTTAATAATAGTTTAATTATGACAAATATTTTATGAACCTATATTTAGCCAAGGTTTACTTGTGATGAATTTCGGGTCTTATGCGGTCACCTGCCTTGTTTGTCCGGCCCTATATTGGGTAATAGTAATCCTACACTCCTCCTAAACAGATTAGGTTCAAGTAACATTTTTATCCAACTATGGAAGATGCTCAAAACCTATACAAAAATTTATATGAAGAATGTAATGTTACATAAAAGTAATATATTTGATTCTTTTTTACTATGGCAATAAATTAATCCTTTGTTTTTTGAAAAGGACCAACAAACATATACGTCATGGTTTGTACAGGACAATTAAGGTAATCACTGGTTGTTCTTTTCTTTAGTTTTCTAACTTATTGGAGAGACAGAGAGGTGGGTGTGAGCGTGTGGGATGTGAAAGGGAGTTACTCTAGCTGGACTATGGCTTTTAACAATTGGAACTTTGGAAGTGTGTTGAAACTTGTATTCATGGGCCCCCTAAACAATTGAAATACTAATCCATCTTTGGGAATGTGATGGTTACCATCAACACTTAGTTTGGTATCTATCAATCATTTATGGGATAAGGAAAATAAGGTGGGAAAATAAAGCTTACTTTTTAGAGGGCAATATCTACCAGACAGGAAAACCTAACTGGCTTTGAGGATTTACATTATTCAATTGATTTCACCTAAATTTTAGTTAAATACACACCTCAAGATTTTTTTCCTAAATTAAAAGTTTATGCTACATTGTTTTTTTCTTCTTTGGTGGTCTCAAGGTTATTAGAATAATGGTATTTTCAGTAAACCTTGGAGCCTTTGGATTGTAGACGTGATTTTTACACTGCAATTTACTGTTCCACTCATTTTTGCAAATATTTATCCAATCATAAATCACTTTACCTTCAACTCACTTTTAATAACCAATTTTACCGAATCAATTCCCTCAGACTCAATTTTTTTAACCGCAGAACCAAACACATGCATAAAGGTCAAACACTTACCACTAAGCTAACACAATGTAGACCGTGTAAAATAATCTTGAGGCTGCGTCCAAAAATGAATTCTCTCTTTGATACTTAACTAATATTATTATGTTCAATCACATTTTATTCAAAGCTATTAGAAGCTTTTCTATTCTTAATTTGAAAACCTCTCTACTCAGACAGACCCTCTTTGATTTTTGAGTGTATGCATGTTGATTTTATTCAAAACAGCTAATCTAGTAAGCCAAAGATAGCTGACACGACAAAGTTTGCTTACAGATTTCAGGAACGGCATTGGTTTTGGATAAAATCATCAACCATGTGCAATCTCTTCAGCATGAAGTAGAGGTCAGGTTTTATACGAATGAGGCAATTGTTTAGACAAATGAAGATTAGGATAAAGTTGTTAGCAGCAATCTGCTTTCATGCTTATATCATCAACCTGTGGATAGCTTAAAAACTTCAAAAATTTGTGGCTCTGTTCTTTCTTCCCCATGTTTATCTCATTCTTCAAAAATGATAGGAGTCCTGTAAAATGCTACTGTAATACTCAGGATTATTTTTACACTGATGACAACAATTAAAGCATTGCTTACTTATTTTGTACTATATGACATTACAGACTGCATACTTTTCTTCACCAGTAAGTCTGCTTCAATATTGGTATGCCTGATTGGGACTTGAGGCTTGAAATTGCATGCTCCTAGACTTCTTCATTTTTTGGTTGTTTATATCCTTGAAAGTTATAAAATGATATAAATGGTACTTTCACTGTGAAGATATCAAAAGAAGATTGAGAATTGTTTCATGGGATCTTTCTATTAGAACACAATGCAGGAACGTGTGAGTCACTTCATAAATGTGATATTGTTCCTTGATTTCTCTGGTTTCAGATTTTATCAATGAAACTGGCAGCAGTTAATCCAATAATTGATTTCAACCTTGACAGCATATTGGCTACAGAAGTAAGTATTCTCTTTTATCAAAAAAAAGGAATTATTTATTTTTTTGGCTTGGGGAGTAATCTGAACTGCAGTAACTTGTCTGAATTGAAGAATAACATGTCATCACCATCTGAAACATTTGAGTTACTTTATTGGAGCATATCTACACTACGCTTGTGCATTATTTATCAGTCCTGATATAGTTTTATTAGACTACTTACTAAAATTCTTCTAAGTTTCCATATTGATTAGAGAGTTATTGATAAAATTTATTTTTACCTATATATTATGCTTAAACACTGAAGTGATGAACTTGAATATGGAGATATAAAGATGGCTTAACAAGAATCAACAGTACTAAAGCATAAATGCTTGCACTTGTTCATTTTAATTTCTTTCTGCTAACAAAACCTCGTTATGGCTTGTAGGGAGTATCTCTCATGGACAGTAACTTCCCTACCACAGTTGCACCCGTCGTGTGGCCAGAAATCCCACACAATGGAAACAGACAGCAATTTCAACAACCATGGCAGTCTGAAGCATTCCACCAACCACTTTGGGTGAGAGAAGAAAACACCCCTAATTTCATGACCCCAGAAAACTCACCACTATTGAGTTATGACTCATCGGCAAATTCAGGTATATAATAATTATGATTCATTGGCTAATTCAGGTATATAATAGTTATACTTCTACTGCTAGTCTCCACCATCAATGAATCTGAGTTTAACAACTTTAATAATTTGCATACAGTATCTCTGCACTCAAATCAGATGAAGATGGAGCTATGAAGAGGTACAGAAGCAGTGGTACTAGTAGCAATTAGTCTAGTACTGTATATAACAAATATAGTTTTAGAAATTAGCCGTGATTTGAACAGGCCCAACATTCAGCAGGATTTCATATTGTCCTCTGTTTGTCAGGGTCAGTTGGAGAACCTGGATTTTATTCAACCAGCAGGCTAGCAAGGAAGAAGAAGAATTCGTATGCTATTTTCGTATAATATATTAATTAATCAGTGTGTATATTAACTATAGTGGTCATTCAATCTTAGGTGATTGATTGGTTCAGATTGTAAAATCATTAAATAGACTGTTAATTATAAAACTCTTTTGAAGTTTGTTGCTTTGTTCGCTGAATGCTAGTACTCCTGAAGATTTCTAGTCATTATGTCTTATTTTATTTTGCATTATATAATTCTCCATTTTATTACTTTTAACTCTATCTATTCATAAAAATTTATATTTTTTTTATAAAAATTCTTCATTTTCCTACTTTTTGCATTTTTATTTAAGTTCTGTATCCAATCTTATGACCGACTAATAAGAAGAGACCAATCTTATCGTCCATTTTGTAGGTACTCACCCAATTCAGTAATAAATTGTTAGCATTGAGTGAGATTCAAAAAAAAAATTGTTTGTTTTTACTCAATGTGTTTAAATGATATACTGTCCATATATAAATATTGATTACCACTATTTTCACAAAGTTAACCAATTAACAAACTAATTACATTCTTTATATTAGGGTTAGTTTTGTCATTAATTCATAATTTAATTTATTAATTATAATTTATTCAAATACTTTAAATCATTTAATATTTTTTCTACACATAATTGTTGCCATTACTATCTTTATATATTACCCACAAGGCTGACTGCTATCATTACACTCTCACCTTTACGTATTCTAAGCATCTTCAAATAAATAAGCAACAACAACTTTTTAATCCAACCCATCACACCAATGAAGTATTTTTTTCCTTCAGTCTAATGATAGGTATTCTCTTTTTTATTTTTATTTGTTTCAAATTATTTGTTATTTTAAAATATTAATTATTTCTTCTGACTAACTTAGCCTTATTTATTATATCTTAATTCATTTAACAATTTTTATCAAATTATTTTAATAAATAACACTTATTTTATCATTAAAATTAATATAATTAATTATTATTTTAAAAAATATGAAAATCTCAAATAGAATACCTATTATAATTATAAGAAAGAAGGAATATTATATTACCGAGGCATATAAAACAAATATCTTCTAAAACGCTTCATTAGGGATACTCTGCAAACTTCATTTGGTTAACTCCAACCCTGCGATTATCAGAACATCAAGGTACAAACTTTTCATTTTCATGAATCATTTACGTTTGGGTTTTTGTTATTTATCGCAGATTCATATAACGAATTCGAATTCAAATTTAAAATTGCTATGAATCAATTTGATTTTGGGTTATTTTATATGAACTAATTTGATTTTGGGTTGTTTTAATTCATCAATTTGATTTTGGGTTAATCTGCAAAATTTCGGCATTCCTTTGTGAACCACACCAAATCCACCATTTTCTCTCTTCTTCCTCAATTTCATCACCTTGCACCAACAAATTGGCATCTAGAGCACTTGATTCTTCTGAATTTCTGGGAAACACGAGTGAAAGTGAACTGTGTGTTTGATTTCTGTTGAATCTTCAACAAAATCTGAACAGAATCACATTGATTCTGTGGGTTTGAGAAACACTGAGTGAGATATGAGATCTGAGATTTGTGCAAGGTTTAAGATGAGTGGAGGAAGTAGTTTGAACACTAAACTTCCAGTCTTTGATGGCAAAAGCTGGAACAGATGGATGATACAGATGCGTGTGTTGTTTGGTGCTCAAGATATTTTGGATCTTGTTACCAATGGTTATGTTCCAGTTGTAGCAGATGCTATTGAAGAACAAAGATATGCAGAAAGAGCTACGAGAAAGAGGGATCAGAAAGCTTTGTTCTGTATCCATCAGTGTGTGGATGAAAGTGTGTTTGAGAAGATTGTTGATTCGACGACGTCGAAAGAGACATGAGATATATTGGTCAGATGTTACGGTGGTGACACGTCAGTGAAGAAGGTGAAGCTTCAGTCCATGCGAAAGCAATATGAGAATCTCAACATCTAGAACAATGAGAAAGTTTCTGAGTACATCTCCAGAATGATTCTGATCACTAATGAGATGAAAGCTTGTGGAGAAACACTTTTTGAACTGGTAATCATAGAGAAGATTCTGAGGTCGCTTACTCCTCAGTTTGATTACATTGTTATTTCTATTGAACATTCTAAAAATCTGGAAACCATGAGAATAGAAGAGTTGCAAAGCAGTCTAGAAGCGCAGGAGTTGCGTCTGACTGAAAGAACTTCTGAGAGGGAAGTTGAGCAAGCTCTGAAGGCTTCTTTTGTCAAGAAGGACTAGAAGCAGAATAGACGTGGTGATAAATTCCAGAAGTCAGAAATCTCAACTTCTGATGAAAAGAAATATCAGAAGGGAAAGGAAAGGTATGACAAAAAGAAGGTTCAATGTTACTGTTGTAAACAGTTTGGCCATTTTGCCAGAGATTGTAGAAACAAAGGAAGGAAATCAGAAGAAGCAAATATAGCCAGAGGAGATTCTGATGATGAACTTGTGCTACTGATGGCTTCTGATTCTGATGGAAAGTCTTCAGAAGATTGGTGGTATATGTACACTGGTTGTTCAAACCATTTGACTGCGAACAAACAATGGCTGATAGACTTTGACTCCAGAAGGAGAACAAAGATCAGATGTGTTGATGATAAGTATCTTAATGCAGAAGATATGGGAAATGTCAGAGTCAGAGTAAAGAATGGTAAAAATATTTTGATCAAAGATGTTTGGTATGTTCTTGGAATTAAAAGCAATCTGATGAGTGTGGGTCAGCTCATTGAGAAAGATTTCTCCGTTGTTATGAAGGACAACCTCTTGACGTTATATGATTCCAATCAGAAGTTGATTATGAAGTCTGAGCAGGGAAGCAACAGAACATTCAAGGCGAATGTAGAGACAATTGAAGCAGAGTGTCTTAGTGCAGAAGGCGTTGAAGGTGACAGTAAGTTGTGGCACAAGAGGTTGGGGCACTTAAACTATAGAAGCTTAGGGCATCTAAGTTCTAAGAAGCTTGTACATGGCATTTCGAAGATTGTGAAGCCTGAGAAGTCATGTGAGATATGCATGAAAGGCAAGCAACCCAGATTTCCATTTGCATCAGAAGTAGCCCCCAGAGCGAAGCATGCTTTGGGAGTAGTATATTCTGATGTGTGTGGACCATTTCCAGTATCTTCACTTGGAGGAAACAAATATTTTGTGTCTTTTGTGGATGAGTTCACAAGAATGACATAGGTAACACTCATCAAGTTCAAGCATGAAGTGTTTACTGAGTTTCAAAAGTTCAAGGTGAAGGCTGAGAAGCAGAGTGGTCAGAAGTTGAAGATTCTCAGAACATATGGTGGAGGTGAGTATAACTCTACAGAGTTCCAGAAGTTCTGTGAGGAGAATGGAATAGAACATGAGGTTACTGCTCCATATACTCCTCAACACAATGGTCTTGCTGAAAGAAGAAACAAAACTTTGCTTGATATGACCAGAAGTATGCTGAAAGAGAAGAAGCCACCTCACATGTTATGGGAAGAAGTTGTTGTCACATCAGCATATGTTTTGAATAGGTGTCCAACGAAGAAGCTGAAGGAAATTGTTCTTTTAGAAAAGTGGACTGGAGATAAGCAAAGTGTTAGCCATCTGAGGTTGTTTGGTTCTGTATGCTACAAACACGTTCCAGAAGCCAGAAGACGGAAATTAGATGATAGAAGCAAAGTAATGTTACTGGTGGAGGTACCACAGTACAGGTGTCTATAAGCTTTATTGTTCAGAAACCAACAAAGTTGAAATCAGTAGAGACATTATTGTGAAAGAGTCGGAAACATGGGATTGGAACAAGCCTCAATCAGATTCTGGTGTAGCGCCAACACCAGTTAGTTTCAGAAGATTCTTTAGAAAGTTTTGAAGACGAGTCAGAGTCAGAAGATGAATCTGATTCTGAAGACTCTGAAGATGAGTCAGAATCTCAGGGAGATTCTGATAGTGGATCTGATTCTAATCCAGATTCTGATGATGATTCAGAATTTGATGGGGATTATATTTCTGGAAGGGAAACTCTGAAGACATAGGGTTTGGAGGACAAGCTTCCAGAAGTAACTCTGAAGGTGGTAATTCTGAAGGAAGTAGTTCTGGACAAGGTCCAAAAGCTAGCACTGTTCCAAGTTCTGGAGAAGCTTCAGAACAAGTTCAGAGGCCACAAAGAATCAGACAAATACCAAGTAGGTTTACAGATTTTAGCATGTTGCATGACACTGAAGTAGATTCTGAAGGAGAAGTCGTTCAGTGTGCCATGTTAGTAGATTCTGAACCAGTAGGTATTGAAGAAGCTCTCAAGAAGAAAGTATGGTTGAATGCCATGAAGGAAGAACTTGAGGCTATTGAAAGAAACAAAATTTGGAAGTTGACAAAGCTTCCAGAAAATAAGAAAGCCATCAGTGTCAGATGGGTTTTCAAGGTGAAGCTTAAGCCAGATGGATCAATTGGCAAACACAAAGCGAGACTAGTGGCTAGAGGTTTTCTTCAGAAACCTGGGCTAGATTACTTTGAGGTGTTTGCGTGTGTAGCTAGATATGAAACAATCAGACTGATGATTGTTTTAGCTGCAAACAGAAATTGGCCTTTGATACATCTGGATGTGAAGTCTGCATTTCTGAATGGTCCGTTACAAAAAGAGGTATATGTGTCACAACCTCCTGGATTTGTGAAAAAGAATCCGGAAGGGATGATATACAAGTTACATAAAGCCAACCTTGTATGGACTGAAACAAGCACCCAGAGCTTGGAATATGAAAATTGATTCATTTTTCAAGAGGCAAGTTTCAGAAATGTGAGATGGAATATGGCGTGTATGTGTAGCATTCTGGTGGCAATATGATTCTGATGTGTCTATATGTTGATGACATATTGCTAACAGGAAGTTGTCCAGAAGATATAATCAAGTTCAAAGAAGTTCTGATGAATGAATTTGAGATGACATATATGGGAAATATGGTAATTTTTCTAGGAATGGAGATTCTGTACTCAAAGAAGGGTACCATTCTACATCAGCTGAAGTATGAACTTGAACTTCTGAAGAGATTTAAGCTGCAGAATTGTAAAGTTGATGTGACACCATCAGAAACCAATCATAAATTGGATTCTGATTCTGATGGTGATTCTATGGATGATACGACCTTCAAACAGTTAGTTGGTTCTCTTAGGTACTTGTGCAATACTAGACTTGACATTTGTTATGCAGTTGGAATGATTAGCAGATTCATGAGTAAATCAAAGTGGTTTCATTACCAAGCTGCTGTCAGGATTCTGAGGTATATCAAGGGATCTCTGAAATATGGAGTGTTATTTCCTTTTGGAAAAAAGACAGAATCAGAATTAGTGAGTTGTTCTGATTCTGGCTGGTGTGGAGATAGAGTTGACATAAGAAGTACTTCTGGTTACTTGTTCAAGTTTTTGGGAGGTCTTATTTCTTGGAGTTCCAAGAAACAGCCTATTGTGGCTCTGTCAACGTGTGAAGCTGAGTACATTGCAGGTGTTGTAGTTGCATGGCAAGCTGTTTGGCTTCTGAATCTTCTGGAGGATTTGAAGATTGAGATAGAGAAACCTCTGAAGCTGTTGATCGATAACAAGTCTGCAATCAATCTTGGCAAGAATTCAGTGTTGCATGGAAGAAGCAATCATATTGAGATGAAGTATCACTTTCTGAGAAGTCAAGTGCAGAAAGGAGTGTTAGAAGTTCTGCACTGTAGCACCCAGAAACAGTTGGCAGATGATTTGACGAAGGCAATCAAAACAGATCAATTTCTTCATTTGATGAATGAAATTGGTGTTGTTAGTTTCTGATAGATACTAAATTAAGGGATGGTATTAAAGGGATAATTTAGTATTTGTTATATTTGGAATAATCTCTCTTAGGGCCTATGTGTCGTAAATATGTGTACTAGGTTTCATTAATTCAATTATTTCTTACCAATCATTTGTAGCAGCTTTTTATCATTTATCATTTTCTTTCTTCTTCCTCAATTTCATCACCTTGCACCAACAATTTATTTGTTCTCTTTTCTTGATAAAAATGTAAGAAACTCTCAAGTAAAGGTTTAGAATTTGGAGATTTAGCTCTCTGAATCATTTGATTTTTAGTTCTCTTCTCATTCTTAATGTGGTTTTGAGAGATCCTAATTACAGTATAATACACTATTATTTTAAATGAATGTGTTTCTTTGATCGATCATTACTTTGAATTACAATTTTGATTAAGAAAGCTTTGATTTTTTTTAATTTTTTTTGTTTGCAGCAAAGTTAAAGTTTCTCATGCCACAGATCTCTGCTTTGGGATATTCCCATTTCTCAATAGCGCCTCAATCATCTTCCAATAAACGCAATGTTCCAGTAATTTTAACAAGTTGTAGTTATTTTCTATCTTTTAGTCTGATTCTTGATTAGTGTTTTCTCCAATGAAATTGTTAATGAATTTTGTTAACCTTCTTTTGATTGTATTCTATCAGAGGGTTCCGAATCTTATCGGGGGAAGGTGCCTTTACTCAAAATCATCTAATTTCATTGATGTTATAAATCTGATAAGTGTTTTCTTCCTTCTTATACACTGAGTTTTTTTTATGATTGTGTATTTGTGTTTGAAATGAAAATGTGCGTGTTCTAGCTTTTTTATTTATTTCGAAAGCAACTATGATATCTGATACATACTATATATTAGAATAAACCCTAAATTTTGTGTTCATCACTCTCTCCTCAATTTGGTTCATATATTATATAAACATGAAAGATATTGAAAGTTTTCTTATTTTAATTGTTAATATTTGTTTTGTTTCTTTAATATAAAAATTGAGTTTTTAATAAATTACTAATATCTATTTGTATTCCAAAATTTCCTTCTCCTTTTCCGATGCAGCAGAACGTCACATAATCTGATTTGCACCGTTGTAGTCGACACCATAAGCTTCTTTTTCCTAACCCATCTTTATTATTGTTATTTGTAAAATTGAATTGACCTAGAATGGGAGTTGTATGTGAAGTCTCATGAAGTGAGAGACTATAATATTATGCAGCTCATGAAGCCCAAATTGCTCTCATTCCTACTCCGATGGACTTTGCTTCCGTGGATTTCAACAAACTAAGTTTGTTTCTAAATTATGGTTCATACTGTGTTTTTGTTTACTTTAATTACCATTTGATTTTCTTTTGCAGTTGATTTGAATGAGTTTCCTCTTTTAATTCAAATTTTTTATGTTTGACCTCTATTTTTGTTAAATAGTATGTGATTTTCAACTCATACTTGTATCTCAATGAGCCTTCAAGTGAAAGTATGTAAGAAAGACTTTTGATACAAGAAGTCAATCTTTTATTTGAATCGTTGTCTCTAATAACATTGATGAATTATGAGGAGGAACATTTATATTGGGTCAAAAGTAACACACAAATGAGAAATACACCACATATCCACCATCAACTTTAAGGCTTTGTTAGAACCGATAGAATTGGATGGAATGAAATGACATTTCATTGTTTGATCGTTTAAAATCGGATGAAGCAGAATGAAGTGGTATGAATTCTATTGGTTTTATTACTTACCACCATATTTCTTTCCCTTTGATTTGGATGAAATGAACAATTTACTTTGTTCCGTCTTTAAATTTCTAAACAATTGAATAATATCTTTGTTCTGTTCTATTTCACTTCACTTGTTCCATTCCATTTGGCTCTAATTATTTACTAATATCCAAATCAATGTTTTAAAAATCAAACTGGAGATTGAACCAGTGAAATTTCTGATTTAAGATTCAATTGATTCAATCGGTTAAACTTACGGTCAAACCGTTTATTAAATAAACTAATAATATAAAACTAAATTTCATAAATATGTCACACATAATCATACGTTTACAACTTAATAAAATAAATACTTTAAAAATCTATTACAAACTTAATTGAACAATATCAATAGGATATATAATAACAAATATAATTATTAATTTCATTCCAACATTTACTTAAGAATAATTTGAAAAAATTAAACTAATTTAAACCAAAATTAAAATAATAAAATATAATAATTAATATAAAGTTCAAATAATTAAGAATACTTAAATTAAATAAGATAGAATACTAAAAATAAATAATATAATATTTTATGTTTTGATATTAATATATTAATCTTAATTAAAAATGTAAAAAAAATGATCAATTAGATTTTTTTTTAATCGGACAATTTTATAAAATCGGCTTCAGTTCTTTGATTTGATTGGTTTTGGACGGTTTTTCTGATTTTACTTTAATTGTAACACACTAGTGATTTTAAAAGATTGAATTAACCGAATTCATTTTAAGTTCCCGATCCAACCAATTAAACAGGTTGATTTGGTGAGCTTTTTAAAACATTGATCTAAATATAACCTAAGATATTGGATATATGACTTTAATAATTTACCATTTTTTGTGTGAAAAAAGTGAGGTTGAAGTTACATCTGTATCAAAAATACACTTTCTTCTATTTTATAATATTAGTTGTATTTGACAATTTTATAAATATTAAAAACATATGATAAATGAAATACATAGAATTACGATTTTACTCTGCTATCCATTATTACTAATACATTTTTATTATCATAAATTAAAACTTAGTGAGAATTATTTTTCAACAAACTTTTGTGGCAAATATTAAAATTGAGAAATTTTCGTTCCATTTAACACTCGTTGACAAAATAAAGAGTTGCGTCAAAACCAACCTCCACAAGAACAAACACCTAGAATCTAGATTAGCAACAACAAAAGAATCTATGAAGCTGCGGGTGTGACACTTCAATCGTAGTCAAGTAAATCATTCAAAATTCCCTTCCTTCCTCGTCATCACCATGTCCTCAAATCCCTTCATCTTCTTTTCCCACTTCGTCTTCTTCACACCCATCACATAAAACCTCTTTCTCCCAATATCCATGCACTGAAGGATAATGAACATAATAACAATACAATGATGTGGAACTTGACCATAAAGTCCCATGTTGATATGGGACTATTTCATTCAGCTTTCTCATTCTACAAACAAATGAGAAAATTGGGTGTTCAACATGATACTTTCACTTTTCCGATTATTAACCGGGCTTTATCGTCTTTAAAGACTGATTTTTTATATGGAAAGATGATCCATTGTGTAGCAATTCAAATGGGTTTGGATTTGGATATGTATTTTTGTAATACCATGATTGATGTATATGTCAAATGTGGCTGCTTTGATTACGGTCGCCACTTGTTTGATTTAATGTCTCAGAGAGATGTGGTTTCGTGGACTTTGATGATTTCTGGATATGTTTCTATGAGCAGTGTTAGTGTTGCACTTGATTTGTTTAACAAGATGAGGATGGAAATGGAACCGAATTCGGTTACTCTTATTGTAATGTTGCAGGCGTGTTGTGCATCTGCCACGTTGAATGAGGGAACTCAGATTCATGGGCATGCAGTGAAAAGCGGGTTGATAATCGATTCGTCTGTGAAAAATTCAGTTTTGAAAATGTATTCTAGTAAAGGAAGTGCTGAAGAAGTGGAAGTTTTGTTTAGTGAAATAAACCGAATGGACGTGGCTTCGTGGAATATTTTGATTTCGTTTTATTCGTCAAAAGGGGACATGATGAGAGTTGCTTGTTTGTTCAATGAAATACGGAGGCTAGAATTGAACTTGTGGAACATCGAGACTTTGACGTTAGTTGTATCGGCATTTGCAAAGTCTGGTAGTTTATTTGAGGGTGAAGGTATGCATTGCTTAGTGATAAAAACAGGTTTTCTCGACGATATTTTGCTGACTTCTCTGCTTGATTTCTATTCTAAGTGTGGGAAATTAGAAATATCAGTTCAACTGTTTAAGGAAATTCGTTTTAAAAGTAACATCACTTGGGGTGCTATGATGTCAGGTTTCATTCAAAATGGTTATTTTATAGATGCCATTTTTCTATTCAAAAAAATGCAAACAGATGATCTTGTTATTATTGCTCCTGAAATTTGGAGAAATCTACTTGATGCATATGCAAACCTAGGAGCTTTGAAATTGGGAAAAGTGGTGCATGGTTACCTTATAAAACAACTTTTTGATGAATCTTTTCAAAGTAATGCACACTTGGATACTTCTGTCTTAAACATGTACTTACGAGGTGGTAGCATCTCTTCGGCTAGACAAGTTTTTGATAGGATTCTTGTCAAAGATGTTGTAGCATGGACAACAATGATTGAGGGGCTTGGTTCCCATGGTTTCGGTTATGAAGCACTAAATTATTTTAATTCAATGATTGAACAAAGAGTGCAGCCGAATGGAATCACCTTCTTGAGCTTACTGTCTGCTTGCAGTCACTCTGGTCTTCTTAGTGAAGGCTGCAAAGTTTACCATACCATGAAATGGGGTTATGGTATTGAACCGGGTTTGGATCATCATACATGTATCGTTGATCTTTTCGGTCGTTGCGGCATGCTTAAAGAGGCATTAATGATAATATTGAAAATGAAAATTCTACCTGACAGTAGGATTTGGGGTGCTCTTTTAGCAGCTTCTAGAGTTTATGGAAATAAAATGATTGGTGAATATGTAGCACAAAGAGTTTTGGAGTTAGAATCTGATAATGCCGGATACTATACTTTGTTGAGTAATGTTAAAGCAAGTGTTGGAAGATGGAATGAAGTTGAAGATTTGAGGAGAGTTATGAGTGAAAAGAATCTTAAGAAGAAACCAGGGTGGAGTTGTATTGAGGTAAAAGGGGTTATTCAAGGATTTGTTTCTGGAGATATTTCACACTCTAAAGCAGATGAATTTTGTGAGATGTTGTGTAGATTGAGTAGAGCAACATAGTTGTTCAAGGGAAAAATTGACTAATTTGAGATTGTTCATTTGCTTATGCTGCAATAAGATTGAAAGGGATTACTTTTACAGTATATAATGAATAATTAATTATAAGAATATATCAATTGGTGACCGGTTTCAACAGTAGTTCTCACTACTCGCCTGTTTTTATTAATTTTTTTTTTGTCAACTAGTCTAATGACTGAAATAAGGGAGCTGTCACGGGTTCAGATTCGAATCTGCGCCCTTATATTTATGTTCTTACACAACTATCAATTGAGTTTGTTTGTTTAAATGCTAGAACTTGTTGTCTTTCCCCAACTCAGGATGAATGATTTTAATTTATATTTATTTACTTTGGTTCACTTTCCTTCAGTTTTTCATTTTCTAAAATTTAAAAATAACAAGCCCGGATAAAAGTAAAATCTTGCCTAGGTTAGCTTTACTATTTCTAGCCGGTCCCAAGCCCGAATAAAAGGAGAGGGTTATGTTAGGCTTTTGACAGTCAACGTAAAACTTTGTCGAATCTCTATGACATGGATTAACTATGTAATTATGTGAATGCTAGGTCGTTGTCCGTAAGCAATGTGTTGTATGGCTCGAGTACAATGTCAAAAGAGAAAGGGTCGTTGCATCGCCGCCCGGATGTAGTGAAAAATAAGCAAGGGTTCTCACATTTTCGTGAACGGGTGTGGATAAAGAAGCAAGTTTATGATAGGAGGATTCACTTTGGATCATGGAATATAGACACTCACTGGAAAATCTAAGGAATTTTCCAATAAAAGATATGAGAGGGATGGTTTGACAATCACAAGGAAGTGCAAATGATATGTGGAACAAGACGGTCCTAGAGATTAAAAAATTGGCTAAAGACACGTTGGATGAATCTAGAGGTTTTGGACCTAGGGGTAAAGAATCGTGGTGGTGGAATGAAAGGGTCCAGAGCAAAGTTAAAGTAAAAAAGGGTTGTTTTAAAGAGTGGTCTAGGTGTAGAAATTCTGAAACTTGGGAAAAGTACAAGATAGTTAAAAATGAAACTAAAAAGGCAGTGAGTGAAGCAAGAACCCAAGCTTTTAATGGACTATAACAATCTCTAGGAACCAAGGAGGGAGAAAGATCTATATATAGGCTTGCTAAGTGAAGAGAAAGAAAGACTAGAGATTTGGATCAAGTGTGTTAAGGATGAAGAAGACAAAGTCTTAGTGCAGGAAAAAGATATAAAGGATAGGTGGAAGGTGTATTTCCACAACTTATTTAATGATGGATATGGGTATGACTCTAGCAGTCTAGACATAAGAGAAGAGGATCAGAACTATAGTTACTATCGTCGGATTCAGACATAGGAGGTAAAGGAAGCATTGAAAAGAATGAGTAACGGTAAGGCGGTAGGACTAGACAACATATCTATTGAAGTGTGGAAAATTCTTGGAGATAGAGGTATTGAGTGGCTCACCAAAATCTTTAATGAAATTATAAGGTCAAAATGCATGTCGGATGAATGGAGGAGAAACACTTTAGTTCTTATCTATAAGTACAAAGGGGATATACAAAATTGTGCAAATTATAGGGGAGTCAAGCTTATGAGTCATACCATGAAATTATGGGAAAGAGTGATTGAACGGAGATTAAGAAATACTCAAGTTACTGAGAATCAATTTGGTTTTATGCCGGGAAGGTCGATCATGGAAGCGATTTATCTATTACGGCGAGTGATGGAGTAATATTGAATGGATCAACAAGACTTGTACTTGATTTTTATGGACTTGGAGAAGGCGTATGATAGAGTGTCTAGAGAGATTCTGTGGAAAGCTCTTGAGAAGAAAGGGGTTAAAGTTGCATATATTCGAGCTATCCAAGATATGTATGAAAGGTATCGACTAGTGTTAGGACACATGATGGAGATACAGACGTTTTCCCATCACAATTGATTTGCATCAGGGGTCAATCCTAAGCCCCGACCTTTTTACCTTAATTTTGGATGTACTCACTGAAACAAATATAAGAGATAGCGCCCAGATGCATGCTTTTTGCAGATGATATAGTCATCCTGGAGAGTCGAGGGAGGAGTTAAATGAGAGGTTGGAAACCTGGATCGGGGCTTTAGAAACACATGACTTTTGCCTAAGCAGAAGTAAGTCAGAGTATATGGAATGTAAGTTCAACAAAAGAAGCAGGGTTTATAACTTAGAGGTGAAAGTAAGAGACCATATTATCTCTCAAGTCACACGGTTTAAATATCTTGGGTCCTTAATACAGAATGATGGAGAAATAGAAAGGGGTGTAAATCATCGTATTCAAGCTAGATGGATGAAATAGAGAAAGGCATCAGGTGTTTTATGTATGCAAAGGGACCGCTCAAGTTAAAGGGAAATTTTTATCGGACTGCGATAAGACCTGCAATTTTGTACGGAACAAAATGTTGGACGGTTAAGAACCAACACGAGAATAAAGTAGGTGTAGCGGAGATGAGGATGCTGCGGTGGATGTGCGGTAAGACTCGGCAGGATAAAATTAGAAATAAAATTATTAGAGAGTGTTGGAGTAACGCCTATTGTAGAGAAGATTGTGGAAAATAGACTTAGGTGGTTTGGGCATGTAGAGAGAAGACTTGTAGACTCTGTAGTAAGGAGAGTAGATAAGATAGAGAGAAAACAAACAATTCGAGGAAGAGGAAGACCCAAAAAGACTATAAGAGAAATTATCAAGAAAGATCTCGAAATTAATGATTTTGGATAGAAACATGACCTTTGATAGAATATTATGACGAAAGTTAATTCATGTAGTCGATCCCACCTAGTGGGATAAGGCGTAGTTGTTGTTATATCTTTTATTTATAAATTTTGAAAAATATTTTAATTTTGATTTTAATAAATTGAGAAGAGAAAATTTTTTTTATACATTTTTCATTAATAGTAGATTTGTAATAATGTGCAACTTTAAAATAGAAAAATATAAATTATTTTATTTTATGAAGGCAAGTATTTTGCTATATAACTTTTTTATTGTTTCATAGCTAAAATTGTTTTAAAGAAAAGATTAATAAATATGTTTTATTTATTTTTCTATAAAATAATTTTTAAAATTAATTTATAACATGATTTTGAAAGGTAAAAAATAAAAAATTAGTGACAATAGTTAATGTTGTTTATATTTTTGTTATTTGTATTATATCTTCAAGTCTAGCCTCCCACCAATATCCACACTTCTTATTGAAAAATATTCACACTATGTTAAGAAAGCATGCTGTGTGTAACATGTTTTAATATTTTGAAAATCTCTCGTTATATTTCTATTTATTTTTTATAGAATATCATGTGATTTTTGTTGGAATTGGAACCAAATTTATCGAGAATTTCGAATTAATTTTGATAAATAAGATTCAATTAACTGATTAAATTTCCTCTTATTTTTTACTCTTCACGCAAGTGAATCAATCAACCTTGGTTATAAGATGAATCTACTACACAATTGTTAATGGAAGAAGAAAGAAAATATGAATTGAGGAAAAAAGATGATTAGGGATTGGCGAAAAATAGGGGAAGAAGAAAAGATATTTTGTAGATTTTCTCTCTACTATTAAAATTGAATATATATTTTTGCAACTGCAATGTTCAAGTGTGTTACAATAATAGGGGTTACTCTCTCTATTTATAGTTTTAGGTTTGCTTGCTTCTAAGCCAAAGTCCAAAACGCCAAAGGCCAAAATACCTAATTTGCTAAAGGGGTAACCCAATGCACGAGGCTCCAATTTTATGGGCTCTAGGGGGGTTGGATGTACGCAGCCTTACTCCTGTTTTTTTATAACAGAGAGACTATTTCCAGCAGGGTTTAAACCCATGACATCAAGGTCGCAATGGAACAACCTTACCGTTGAACCAAGGCTACCCCTTAAAATACCTAATTTGCTAACACTACAAAATAGGCCTAAGTCGAAAATTCACGTCGAGGCAACCTGCATCAACACTTTGACAATACTAGGTGTTTCGACAACAACATGCTCTGACACCATGAATTACATTCTCAATGCACCACCTAATTCATTATGTCTAAGCTATCTAAATTCACCATAGATCTTAATTTCTTGAAATTTTGACATGCACTCCTTCTGTCATGATGTCTGCAATCCGATTCTCAGGTTTGTAGTGTTCCAAGTTCGTCTTTCCTTTTACTACATGCTCTCGAAGATAATGGAACCTCGTTTCTATGTGCTTGCTTTGTCCATGTGCTATCGAATTTTTTGCTATATTGATAGCTGGCATGATGTTGATCTTCATGGTAATTGATCCATAATCCTCCCTTTTAATCTCTTCAACTAAATTCATCATCCATGTTGCTTGACATGTATAAGGAAAAGCAACTATGTACTATGCTTCACACGACGATAGTGTTACTACTGACTCTTTCCTTGAACTCCAAGGAACTGGTGTACCACCTAGCATAAACACATAGCCAATTATGGATTTTCGATCCTCAGTATCACTACACCAACTTAAGTTGATGTAATCCACTAGCTTGTATTATTTTCCTTTATCATCTGTAGGAAACAAAATACCATAGTCGAGAGTTCCTTTCAGATATCTTAGTATCCTCTTCATCGCTGCTAGATGTAATATCTTTGGCTTCTGCATGATCTACTCACCATACTCACATTGTATGCTAGATTAGGCCTTGTGTGACAAAGGTGTCTTAATGACCCAATAAGTCTTTTGTACTGTGTTTGATCGGCATCATCTTCATCTAAGTCTTTCGATAGTTGCAGTCTTGGTTTAGCAAGTGTCGAAGTCGAGTTGCATTCTTTCATCTCAAATATATTGAGTATTTCACTTTCATATCTTCTTTGGTGCATCATCAAACCTCTACTACTCTTGTAGAATTTGATGCCAATGAAGTATGAAATGTCCCCCAGATCAGACATTTCGAATTCCTTGCTAAGACCACCTTTGAAGTCTTCGATCTCTTTCTTGTAGCTACTTGTTATCAACAAGTCATCAACATAGAAACATAGTATA